CCACGTAACCATGCCCTCTCCGACATGCGACGCCGATCGATATTTCTCTCTTCACCGATTGGCCTTAGCCGGACGAATTTCGGAAGCATTCACTAAAGGCTGACACCTGTCTGGTGGGAACGCTGAACTGCGTGTATAGTAGATAGGCTCGATAAATCTGCACCACCTTACTCTCTTCCCTGCCTTCTGATTTGGAAACCTTCAGATTGTCGAACATCCTACCTCGAGATAACCACCACCTGGAATCAAACCCCGGTCGCACTGTATCCCATGTAGATGGCGACTCGCAACACCTCTCCAAGGCCATTGTTGAATGTGGTTCATACTGCCTGCAAGTAGGGTACTAACGAACCCAACCCCAAACACCGTCGCCCTATATCAAAATGAGCATTGCTGGGTCCCGAATTGGGCAAGGACGCAGTATGCAACATCACTCAGGGAGCAAAAACCAAATCATCGTGTAATACGTGTTTTATGGCTGGGGATAGACGGTGTAAAGGAGAGCGCGTAAGTAGGTAAATATTGGGAAAAATGTTAGGGGGTCATATTGCGTCCTCGCGTTACATTTCTTTACAGCTACTTGCAAAAGAGCACACTTACCAGGAAACCGATCCCCGAGGAATGATGAGGGTATTACGATATCTCATAGGGCAAACAAAAGAAACAAAAATACATTCGAGAAAGCGCCAATTATCTTAAAATGCGAGGACACAATATGCCCCGATGACCTGGTTTCTGTCCACTGCTATTGGATTTTGCCCGCATGATAGGTTGACTGTTGCGGACACCGACGTCCAACCCTGCCCGCATACGACGTTATGATTAAATGTCGAACCATACAAATAGAAGTAGATCTCATAGTCCTGCCAACACGAAGTTACCATGGTTTCTTCTTCTGGAACCTTATGTCGTACACTTCCACCACGCAAGTAAGTAAGGTGACCATATTTCCATATGCCTCATTTCTGAGGCAGATAGTCGAACGTTGGCCGAACTACTGAAGTCTAAGCAAATGACCATGGTGAATGTACTGCTGGAAGTGACAAATAACCAAATACGGCGTCTATCTAACAAAGGTTAGTAGCAAGCATGTAAGGGTGGATTTTGGAAGGAAGGTTAATTGCCGTGTTGGCGGGGATTATATTAGGGGCACCGAAAAACAATGTCGGTAGGGGTCGATTTCGCTGTCCTGGTTCCAAATGTTAGCGCATTGTGTGCATTGCGAGTAAAGTAAGCCGGAGGAGGATGTTACAATCGGTGACGGGAAAATAGCCAAAGCTAAGACGGATGAGAGAAATCTGATGTTCCGGTTTGGAGGTAGGGTTAGTTTTGGGGCCTGGGCTAGTGTCAGGCCGAGAATTGAGTTTAGGGTTTGTGTGAAGTTTAGGGGCTCCGGTTAGAGTTAGGGTTTGGATTGCAGTTAAGGTTTGCATTTAGTACTAAAGTTGGGGTTAGAGCTAGTTTTAGGGTTGAAGATGGGTAACGGTTAAGGTTAAGGTTAGATTTTGGGTTGCGGTTAAGGTTAGGGGTGGGGTTTGGGTTAGGGTTAAGGCTAGGGTCAGGATGTGGGTCAGGGTTTGGTTAAGGGCTAGGATTTGTGGCAAGTTTAGGGCTAGGTATAAAGTTAAGTTTAGGGGTTCGGGTTTGTTCCATAATTACGTTAAGGTCTGCGTTTACTTTTGAAGTTATGGTTAGGTTTACCGTTAGGTTTGGGGTATTGCCGCTCTACATGTCCCCTCAGCCAGGTCTTTTACGGGTATGCTAGGCCTCCTTCAATCTCGCAGCAGATTTGTCATACATCAGGTGGGCTTTTTCCGTTTCAGCCCCACATTTCCCCACTAACGATCTCGGCATCCTCCTTCGGC